AAATGTATAAATAGTCTCATGAATCGCACTTGTAAAAAGACAGTTCGCAACAACTCAATAATAATAAAGGAGTAGTCGTGTCTTCATACACGAACTCGAATACTTTATTAAATAAATATTAAAACTAATAATCCCCAGAAGAGTAACCGTGTCTTCATGCACGGATAACTCGAATAAATCGTAGATCGGTTATAGTGTCTTCATACACGTATAACTTGAGACTTTCTCGAATAAACTGTAAACTTGTTATACGACTAATTGTATCTTCATATAAATCTCTAATATATCCGTCGCTATAGTAAAACGTTATACCGAACTTCTAAGAGGTAGTTTCAGTATATCTCTGGTTGAATCGGGAGTATAAAAGAAGTTATGTAAGATTTAAAAAAAAGACAAGCATATGACATATAAACTTATATGTATAATGATCATGTGGCGGTTTCGCCACCTAGTTTATTTATTATAATAATTCCTGGGACACCTGTGAAAATTTGCCGAATGATTTTTCGGCTGATTCGGTTAAGTTTGTGATTTTGGGAATAATAGATTCGGCAATATATCTGATATCAGATATGTACATACGTACTTTAAAAGTAGATGACTAATATAAATATTATGATACTTTCAAAGCATCTTCGCTGGCAAATAGTTAAAAAAAAAATTTAGAAGACTATCAGTTCGAAAAATTGCAAACACTTAGGTGTTAATAAGTCTCTTACAGGTCGGGTTCTCAAGCACCTTCAAAGATATAGAAAAACTTCCCATCATTTTCAAGAAACTACATTTATTAAACACAAACGATATAAAATATCTTAAAACTTTAATGAAAGAAAAACTTTATTGTTATTTGTATGAATTGCAATCCGAATCCGAAATGGAACTTTAGTTGGGATATAAAATTAATCGTATAACAATTTAAAAAGGTATACATTCTACTTAGATATACACATTGATATATACATAAGAAAGTCTTTTTACTATATACATCGATATATATATTTTTTATTTTATAATTTTATATCCGTGCCTTTTATATTTCTTGTTAAGGTTTATTGGTTGACAAGAATAATTTTATCATAAGTATTCGTACAAACCAAACACACTAAACATGTCGGGCAAGTATTCAAACGAAAATTTAATAACATTGAATGTGTCGATATTATGAAGATAAAATTATTTGTAGAACAAGTACGATATTACATGTAATATAAAAAAAATTTTTTTATATACCGAAATCAATAACTTAACCGAAAAACCATTCAGCAAATTTTATCAGGTGTCCCAGGAATTATGGTAATAGCTGTAAAAGCGGGCCGGGCTACAAAAAATTGGTAAATTTGCAGGCCTCTATAGTCTTGTTTTAAGAAACTTATTTGCAAAATGGTAAAATCCACCTTTGGGCCGAAGGCACTTTATTCATAAGAAATGAATCACTAATATTTCTGTTATAATGATTACGATTTCTATAGTAACTATAACCTATATAACTACTATATACATATATCTTACATTCACTTTATAACGTGCCTACCATTGGGTCATCTTTCCTATTCGACAGTACAGTACACGTGTATAAAAATTAAAATAGTTTCAATTAGGGTTATATGAAGATCTCTATTTTGAATAGTTATCCTTGTTCTTTAATTCGATTTGTGGAGTTGAGGACCATTCGATTTCATATCCTTCGTAATAGTGCATGGAATAGAAATAAAACTTTTTTTTCTATTGAAATAAACTGAAATAACAGTTTAGATAAAAATAACGTTCAAAAAATATATATTTCATAGAAATCAGAGTCTGATAAAAGTTCGAAGTGAAAATTTTGGAATAACTCACCTTTGAGAACTTCATAGTTTATATATAGCACTTCCAACTACTTCTTCGAAACAAATGTTAATCGATCCATTATTGTATTTTGTTCCAATATGCAAATTGTTTGAATTTGGGTTTTCTTTTTTTTAAAAAAAATTAAGTGCTAGAAATCGAAAGATCAGTTAGGAATAAAATAAGTTTTCACTAAGGACGTAAGATTTACTTACCCTTGTGTTCTGCAAAGTTGGGTTTATTTCCATTAGTTTCAAAAAGAAAAATTAGGAAATCCCGAATCACAAACATTTAGATGAAAAAAAGAATATTTTTAAAAGAATATGCATATTAATAAAAAAAAGTTTAAGTACTAGAAGTTTGGGTGAAACATAAACTTTTTGGCTAGAGGTACGATCGTGTATTTATAGACTTATTCGGGTGGCTTGTCTCTATGTGATGTTATTTGCAGAGTTGGGCATCGATCCTGATCTAGCAGAGGGACCGATGGAACCGTGGGACTAATTTAAAGATCAGAGTTTATTATTTGTGCCGGTGTTACTATCGTATCGGGAGAGCCAGAAAGAGGAAAATAAATGAATTTAAGTGATTTGATAATATGTGTAGTGTAGAGTAATCAGTACGCGATAAGTTAAATAATTAACTAGGTCGTAAGTTATCTGATAAATTAAAAGCTCGACACAAAAATTAGATAAGTAGAAGATCTCGATATATGTTTTATGAATAAGTCGCCTTCATTGTGAATTGTTTAACATGTGTTTTCCCCGAAACTTGCACATACGTACGTATCATTATTGGACGTGATTGGGCGGCATAATCGTCATATCAGATTTTCACATATCGTTTATTTCGTAAAAATTTACATCAAAAATCACCGACAATATCTCGCTATTTTTTTTTTTTTTTTTTGAATTTACTTTAATGAATAAGGTGCGCAAATGGCGCTTTATCTGTTATTAAGTGATATCTCGCTATTTTGACAAGAAATGTAAGTAAATTTTATTTTATTTTATTTGATTTTTGACTTGACTACAATTTACGCATCTGCTTTCTAAATTTCTGTCAAATTTGGGTTTAATTTTGCACGTCGGATTTTTTTTACGTAGACTGATGAAATGATAATCGCTAATTATTAGCTAATGTTAAAAGTCCAGTTTTAAAATCCAGTCCTGCAACAAAGTCATAGGCATTCTAAAATTCTGCATTAACCGAATTTACAGAATTCGTAGTTAGATTATTGGTCAGGTTTCTGGATTTATACATATTTCTATGCTTGACCATCGCTACGATGAATTTATAAATATTAGAAGCATGCTCAGGATCTTGATTTAAAAAACGATTTTTATGTAAGAGTATATGAACCACCTAATATCGTTGCGTTCAAGACTTTGCCTAGTTCTAAGGAAATTCTCATAATTTTTTGAAAAATCGAATTAATCATAAAGGTTGTAATCATTTAAATTATGGTAGTGGCTAAAATGTATCAAAAACAAATAAATACATGATGGTATTTCAATACCTAAGTTCATAAGAAAGACTTTCAAGATCTCATCAGAAAGACTAAATTAAAATTACTACTGGACATTTCATTTATGAGGACTTTCACAGTGTTAATGCTTTGCAAGACAAAAGGCATTAATAAAAGTATGCAATGATACATCTCAGATCTAGAATTGCTTAAAGCGTATAATGAAAGTGATATGTCGTTCCGAACGTTTATTAGGTTAAAAGCTTACGTTTTTATTGCTTTGGAACATCCTGTAGATATGCCAACTTGCGAAGATCTTTTTTTGATGAATACGAATTTGATGATGTGTGATGAGAGATGTGCAAATTGTTTTTTTTTTAAAAAAAATTTTCATGCGCGTGAAATTTTTGGCCTGCACTATGCTAATGAGGGCAAGTGCAAATAAATACTAGTTAAGCGAAACCTAGAGATTTCGTCATTAACGGAAGACGGAATCTGGACCGACTTTCACCAAAAAATTTAAACGGCGAAATGAAAAACTATCAAAACGTGAAAAAACTGGCGAAATGTGACGAGATTGGCGAAAGATAATAAAAACTTATGAAAAGTAATAAATTGTTAAAACGCCAAAAGACGGATTTAATTATTAAAATTATTTAATGAACTTGTATACCAAATTGGCTGTTCTGAAGATTTCTGTAAAGTAAATTTGTTGCATAATGAAACCTTACCAAATATTGTAGAAAGATTCGATATAATAAGGTAGCTAATGATATTGTTTACATGATTGTTCATAGGGTTATATTTTAACATAGAGATCATTAAAATTTGATTATCTTTCAACTTAAATTCTACTTACATATATAAAAAAATGATAGGTTGTAAGAAGAAGTCACATTTAATCTATAAATCTAAGGTAACGTGGAGAAATTAGTGACAGGAATGGAAAACCTGTAATTGATTCACTAACTTGTTAGTTTCGGTCCTGAGGAATCTGATTCTATTTGATTAGACATATTTATTATTTTTAGATCCCGCAAAAAAGAATTTTTTCCTTTTTAGATCGATGAACTTTATACATATTTGATCACATTTAAAGCTGTTTTCATAAATTCTGGGACAGATGAAAAGTTTTCTTATGATCGAATCGATAAATTACCGAATCGGAATTAATTGGTTATAGACATCAGCATCCTTATTTATTTGTCCGTCGGATATTCCAGAATTTATGAAAACAACTGCAATCATTTCAGGATCAAGAGCCATCATAATTTCTAATGACGAGATTTTATAATAATATACTGTATAGTTATTTGAGTAATCGAAATTTGTTTGATATTTTGATTTGATTTGAGTAACGCTAAACGAAATCAATATGTTCTTGTGTATTTGATACGTTTCATTTAATGAGATTCATTTCTGATGACGTTATTTAATACTAAATAATGCTAACAAACAATATTATAAATTAAAACTCCGTAAGTTAAAACATAAGAACTTTACTAAAGACTTTTACGAATAATTAATAAATAATATATTACTATCAAATAAAGCTTCACAAAATAATGTAAAAAGACTGCTTAAAGTTAATCCAAAAATGATGCTTAATTGATTTAGTTCTATTTATTAATTGTAACAAAAATTCTCTTTCCTTTCTACCATATACATCGAAATACTTTACACATCTATCTAATAAGTTCCTTCTTATCTATGTATTTATATCCGTTATCACTATCACCACTCTATCTACGCTTACTTCTGAACTTTCATTATCCACATTTACTCTACATCTTTTATTCTCCTTATTTACTTTATGTCTTTTACTATCTTCGTGTACTCCATTTTTTTTATTGTTCGCGCTTACTTTATCTTTTTTGTTACGTGCTATAAATTCTTTAGTATTTGGAATTTTTTCACGCACGTAATTTTTCTTCTGATTATTCACATTCTTAGATCGATTTGGTTTTTCTACCTCTATTTGTGAACGCATTCTTTCTAATTTTCCATGCTTCATCAGATGACTTTGATATGATTTTCTTGTAAAATAAATCGTACCACATCCCGGTACCTCACATTCCCTTGGGAATATATCTGTATGTGTTTGCATATGTTTTTTGGCATAATCCAACCTATCAAATCTCGAACTACATCCTTGATAATGACATCTATACGGATGTACCGTTTGTTCATGTGCCTCTAACTCTGCTTCGCTGGCAAATGATTTCCCACAATTCATTTTCTTACAGATTATTAATTTTCTTACTTTTTGAAGATTTTCATACGAGGGTAGGCTGATGGTTGAAGACCGTTTGGGATTTGATCGCGTTGGTAGTGTATTTTTAATTTGATTTTTCAATGATTTCTTTTGATCAGAAAATGTGGATAGCGATTTGGTTTCTTGCTTAGTTATTGGTTCTATCAATGGCTTAGGTAATGAGGCACGACGATGACGCAACTGATATACTGATGTGTTTGTTGATTGCTTCATATCAATATATGAATTTGATGATGTATGATTATGTTGTAATGTTTTATCGCATTCCGAATGATTTTCAATGGAATGAGGCGTATTATTGTCAACTGATACAGATGAATTAATAGCTGTACATACGTGAAAATCTTTTAATTATTAGTATACCATTAAATTTTAATATTACTGCAATAATCTTATTCTTAACATACAAACTTACATTTTGTAGGTTTGGTGTCGTTACATAATGCATCTGATAAGCGAATGCAAGCAAATGGTGAACGATTTTGAAGGAGTTTCGAACATTGATCATCGGAATTTGCTGAATCAGAGGAATCGGAAGGTATATATGGCATAGATGTGGATAATAATTTAGAAAAAGATAAGGTATCTGTTTAAAATTAAATTTTTAGTTTATATTGAATTGAATATTCATTTTAATAATATTTGAATAGTATTTGAATTCATTACATTGTGACGTATCAACATCCAGTTGCTGCAATTTGCGACAAAATGTGTCTGTAGAACTTTCTTCCTCACTACTATAACATTCCGTGATTAACTCTTTTTGATCCGTATTGTTATGAATATCTCTAGAATTCAAATTT